AAATAGGATCCAGCAAATCATCAAGAAGATTATACACCATGACCAAGTGGGATTCATCCCAGGAATGCAAGGATGGTTCAACATACGTAAATCAATGAATGTAATGCACCATATCAATAAAGTCAAAAGTAAGAATCACATGATCATTTCTATAGATGCAGAAAAAGCTTTCAATAAGGTCCAACATTCATTCATGATAAAAAGTTTACAGAAAATTGGAATAGATGGTCCTTACCTCAATATAATAAAGGCCATTTATGACAAACCAACAACCAGCATTATACTAAATGGCCAAAAATTGAAAGCCTTTACTATAAAATCAGGCACAAGACAAGGATGTCCTTTATCACCACTCCTATTTAACACAGTACTGCAAGTACTAGCCAGGGCAATTACGCAAGAGAGAGAAATAAAAGGGGTAAAGATAGGAAAAGAAGAAGTTAAATTACCATTGTTTGCAGATGACATGATGCTCTACATAGAAGACCCCCTAAACTCCATTAAAAGACTCTTAGATACAATAAATAAATTCAGTAATGTAGCTGGATACAAAATCAGTACTCAGAAATCAATAGCATTCCTATACACGAACAACAAAATCACAGAGAGGGAAATAAGAGAAACTACACTCTTCACATTAGCAAGCAAAAAAATGAAATATTTAGGAATTACTCTTACAAAAGAAGTGAAAGTCTTATACAGTGAAAATTATAATACACTGAAAAAAGAAATTGAAGATGATCTCAGAAAATGGAAAGACATCCCTTGCTCATGGAAAGGAAGAACAAACATTGCGAAAATGGCCATTCTCCCAAAACTGTTATACAGATTCAATGCAATCCCAATAAAAATACCATCAACATACCTTATAGATCTAGAGAAATCACTCCTAAATTACATCTGGAACCAGAAGAGCCCTAGAATAGCAAAGGCAATTCTAAGCAGCAAAGACAAAGCAGGAGGCATCACAATCCCTGACTTGAAGTTATACTACAAAGCAACAGTAGTAAAATCAACATGGTATTGGAATCAAAACAGAGCCGAAGATCAATGGAATATATTAGAAGATACAACCACAACTACAAACACACTCAACCACCTTATCTTTGATAAAGGAGCCAAGCAGGTTCACTGGAAGAATGACAGTCTCTTTAATAAATGGTGCTGGAAAAACTGGCTCTCCATTTGCCGAAAACTAAAGCTAGACCCATGTCTATCACCATGTACTAAATTAAAATCTAAATGGGTCAAAGATCTGAATATTAAAACAGAAACACTAAATCTATTGGAAGACAAATTGGGTAGAAAGCTTGAAGACATAGGAGTAGGTAGAGAATTCATGAACAGGACTCAAACTGCACAGGAAATACTTCCCAGAATCAATAACTGGGACCACTTCTTATTAAAAAGTTTCTGCACGTCAAAAGAAATCTCCAGCATAGTGAAAAGAAAACCCACAAGATGGGAAAAGATTTTAGTGAACTCTCTGTCAGACAAGGGACTCTTGTCTACAACATATAAAGAATTAAAAAAAACTCAGACCCCAAAATTCAAAGATCCAATCCAAAAATGGGCATCTAGGATGAATACGCACTTCTCAGATGAAGAAATACAAATGGCAAATAAATACATGAAAAAATGTTCATCATCATTGGTCATTAAGAAATGCAAATTAAAACCACACTGAGATACCATCTCACTCCTGAAAGAATGGCCAGGATCAAGAAAACCAACAACAACAAATGCTGAAGAGGCTGTGGGGAAAAAGGAACTCTCCTACACTGTTGGTGGGAGTGTGGACTGGTACAGCCTTTGTGGAGGTCAGTCTGGAGATTTCTCAGAAAGCTGGGATTGGAAGTCCCATTTATTCCAGCTATTCCACTTCTAGGCATATTCCCAGAAGAACTGAAAGCATCATACCACAGTGATATATGTGCACCTATGTTTATAGCAGCACAATTTGTAATCGCCAGATCTTGGAAACAACCCAAGTGTCCATCAACTGAGGAATGGATAAAAAAGTTGTGGTATTTCTATACAAAAGAGTATTACTCAGCTATAAAGAAGCATCACATTGAGATATTTATCAATAAATGGGCGCAGCTTGAGACCATATTCACAAGTGAAATAAATCCATCTCGCATGTGTGAATATCGAATAGTTTCCCTAATGTAAGTAATGATTCAAATATATAAAAATATGTGGTAATCATGATTCCCCCATTATGTGGCCTTGAAGCCTTATAAAGTTTTCACTTATTAATTGGAAAGGCTTTATTCTGGGCTTCTTGATATGGAAATATTTGAAGCTATAGTATATGAAGTTTTATTCAAATATTTCAAGAAAAAAGTCAGACACTATGGTAATTACTATTAAGTCGGGTTATTTGGTGGTGAACCACTAGATTGCTGAAACAGTCATGCTTTGACCTGTATTGTTATATATGTTATGTCCTCTTTTATCTCAATCTCTCCCTTATTCATTAAAAAAATTATTTAGTTATTTTTTATGGTTTTTTTAATTAAGGGGAAAAATTAAAAAAATTAGCAGGATATAAAATAGTAACTTTTTTTGATTTCCTATTAACTTGTTTTGAAGTCCTGTAATACTCCCACCATCTTGTTTTGACTAATTAGACTCTGTTCCATTCTGTATGATAGTATCAAGTTTGAGGGTATAGGCAACTACTTTGAAGGCAATAAGATTCACTAAGATGCTCATTCTGGTTTGACTATTGTCTCCTTTGGAAGTCCTGTAATGTTTACAATGCTTAAGTCTTATTGGTCTTGTTCTCTACTGTTTTGTTCAACTTTATAATACCTAATGAGATAGACAATTCTTTTTAAGGAAACAAGAGACATTATGGTAACCATTGTTGATAACCTTGTACTCTGTTTTTACATCATGTGCTATGTCTATTCTTGGTTTTGACTGACAGCTTTGTTTTGCCATATTTGACTTTATTCTCTCCCTCCCCCCAAAAAAAAGTAATAAGAACTAAGGAGTAATAAAACCCAAAATGTGTAAATTTTGTTGTAAAAAAGAGAGGGAAAAAAAAGTGCTCTAAAAGATACAACAGCAAGTGTGTTTAGGGGTGTTAAATAGCTGACCATATTAATGTTTTTGGTTGGATCATTGAACACAACTGTTTGCAGTCTCACTGTTTGAATGTCCACTTTGTATGCTTTGATACTGTGACTTGAGCAACTATCTCTAAGATGATAATGTGTCATCTATTAACTGGTGATTTCTGTTTTTTTTTTTTTTTTTTTTTTGTAGTTCTGTATTACTTGTACCCTTACACCGCTTTGTTTTGTTTTGTTTTTTCTCTTTTTCCTTTTAAATAAAATTTTAAAAAAAAGAATAAAATTCTGATGGGCAAGGTGGAGCATGCTTTAATCTCAGCACTCAGGAGGATGAGACAAGAGGAACTGCCTTGAATTTGGGGCCAACCTGTGCTACACAGTGAATTCAAGGCCAGCTTGAACTACACAGTGAGACCTGTCTTATAAAAACCAAAATCAAATACCACAAAAGTGTGAGAAACGTGTGACAATTGCAACTAAATCAACTTTCAAAAAAAAGACATTTAAAACGAAATTTTCAAAAGGTATACTATACTTTAATACAATAAAAAATTCTATCATTTTTTGATCTATTAGATCTCCAGGCTTTGTATTAAGCATACCGGCAAAGATGTATTACTTTATATCCTCAGTAATCTAATGAAAGAGGTATTGGCTTCCCACATTTTACAGGTATCTAACTGAAGTTTTAAAAAGTTAAAAATCTTATGCAAGTAAATTAAAACCTCATCTGGATGGTAAGAGAATCTCAGGGTTTATAGCACTAGCTCAGTATGTAACAGGCCCTGGATTTGATCTCCAGCAGTGCTAAGAAAAAGAAAAAAACTTTCATCTGCTCTATGCTCTACTAAATTATGTACTACTAAATTTGAAGATGCAAAGATGGTTTAAAAAAAACCTGTATTTAAATTCTAGAAATTATAAAGTCTTAGTAAAATATTGAATTTAAATGTCTTTTTTAAAGGCCTAGGCAATCTCACTCACATAATATTAACATCTTTAACTCACTGTTTTCAATAAACCAGCTTATTTTTAGCTCTTCACTAACAAATAATCTATTTCCACATTTGTTTTAACAGATTGCTTCACCTACTTGAAATAATCTAAATAATTGCAACTCCTTTAAATTCTAATCCATCATTTAATCCAAAAATACTCCCTTCTCTGAGTTTTTACTTTATTTAATCATTGTATAAAGGCATAGAGAATTCTCTGAGAATCTGGTATACTTATACTTCTTTGTATACTTACTTATTTAACTTCTGGTTCAAATCCTTGTTTTCTTACTTAGTACCAGTTTTTAACAAAAGTTGCACATCAGACAGCAGACTCACCTAAGTTCATAGTCCAAAGAGTCTAAATTAAGTCTGACACAGCATATTTGTTTAAAAAAAAAATTCATGTGCACTCCCCAGTCCAACTCTCCTGTGAGAACTACACACTGGAGATCTTATAATGTCTTAGACCTATTTTCTTCTCTATAAAATAGGGTTATAAAAATCCTACTTCCTAGGAGTACTGTCAGGACTAGATGAGATTTCGTGTTTCATACAAATGGCTTAGCACAGTATCAAGTACTTAATGTTAGTCTGGATCTTTTTACAAAAAATGACATGAATTTTTTTTTTTTAATCCCTCCTTATATAACACCTAAGAGTGTACTGAACCAAGACTTGTGGCAAAGTTATATAATCCCTGGGAGGCTGAGCAGGAAGGTTAGACGTTAGAGCCCAGGTTGGGCAACTTAGTTAACCTATCTCAAAATAAAAAAAAAAAAATTAAACATGGGCTGGAGATGTAGCCTCGTGCAAAGACCCCCATACTACTACCACCAAAAAAAAAAAAAAAAAATCTATTTATTTATTATTGCACATACAACACTAACTTATAGAGTTGATGACACGACTTTCATACCCGTCTCTTTTGTGCTTTTGATATCCGAGGTGGCTGATTCTCAAGTACCAAGTTTGCAATGTTAACAGCGACAGAATCTATCTAAAGGAAACAGAAAGCATTAACAAGTCAATGAAAACTACTTTGATAGTATTTTTGAAAGCAGGTTACTAAGTTATTGATGGAAATCACAAGTACATCAACTTCTGCATTTCAAATTTAAGTCACAGCACTAGACATCATAATGTATGATATGGTCTCATCTTCTTTCTTTACTTTTATGAGAGAATCTGTCAGATTTCCAAGAAGTCTCCCTATAACTCTTCAGAGACAATGCTCATTTCTCCTTGGAATGCCTACTCCAGCAACAGGAAGCATCTTACTTCCTACGTGAGTGCCAGTTCACTCAGGACTATCCTTCCTCTCTCTCAATGTTAATGGCTCAAATAAAACATAGGTCTTGTGTTGGCTCAGTTCATTACTAACTGCATAATCTTAAATTTTGCAGCAGAGGCTCTTCTCCATTCTATTTGAACTTGGTAAGCACTGATTCTTAAACTTATCTTTTCCTATCTATGAACTGATTAATTGCATGCAGAAAATATCATTTATGGTATCATATCTTAAAACTCAAATGGCTATTATGTTTGCTGAGGTAAGAAAATATGATGCTAGGCTTCTATGGGGATAAATAGTATTTTATTATTATAAGTAAAGCTAGTTCTTAGTATGACACATAAAATTATTTATGCCCTCTACTGCATAAAGTTAGTAGTTTTCAAAGGCTGATCAAAATATCCAAATCAGACAAAGATTTTAAAGAATGGTTGTCAGTGTTACAGAAACTAGGAATCTTGATTTTTTCTGAGGATTCTGGTAAAATTCACATACTGACAACAGGCAATATACAAAGTGGTATGTGAAAAACAAAAAGCAAAGGAAATAAAAATTTAGGCAGAATTAAAAAAAATCAGTTAATGGAAAAGGTAAAAGTTCAAAGTAGAATGGGAGTTTGTATTTGAACAGTTAGAAAATATGCAATTTTAAGAATCAAACATTTTTGTCCTTGGAAACCTAGAGGAAAAATTTTGAAATTGAATGTCTAAAAAAGGAAACAAAACTATCTTGCTAATAAAAAAGATAGGGAGGCAATTAGGAATATAACAATTATAACATATACCTCAAGAAGGTTGCCTTGTTTTCTGTAGCTACAGTACAGTATTAAGGTCAAGGAAGGGGAGTATCTTGACTATTGATTGATAAATACCAGTTAAAATGATAAAAAATTGCTCTCATTTAACAAAAAAAAAAACTGTAAATTTTTGTTCATTACAAGTTGCTTCTTGAGCAACTTGTAAAAATGAATTTAATGTATATTTTTAAAATGGTTTCACATCTGTTGTCCCATCTGACCTTTATAAAAACCTGTGATTAGACAGCAGAAGTATTTGTGTCATCACATTATATGTGGGTAAATTTACGATCAGATTGCTTAAGTAACTTTGCCCAGGTTGTAATCCTATTCAGTGACAATTCTGGCACCAGAAGTGTGGTCCTCCAACTTCCATTTGAAGTTACCTATGATACACTTTACCAACCTGTTCATCTTTTAGTCAAGTAAAGTGTAATAAAACATAGATAAGCAAAACTAAGCAACAATACCAATTTTATGGTTTTATACGATCAATTTAACAGATGAGGACAGGTGCTTTCAAATGTTGTAGGCAACACAAATATTTCACATACCTTATTTTCCTTAGCAGCCAGTTTCAGTTGCTCCAGTTCTTCTCTATGTTTCTGTTCCATTTCTTTTTCCAACTTTGCAACATCTTCAGTGAGCTGCTTCCTTCTCCTTTTGTCATTCTTGGGGACAGCATTTTTCATACCCTGAATTTTGGCTAAAAAGTCACCAAAATGATTAAGTCAGAAACTCAGGAATAAGAGGAAATAGGAAACAGGTCCACTAAGAAAACAGAAAGCAGCGGAAAGGACATACATAGAAGAAATCATTGTGGAACCAAGAAGTCATATTAATAACAGCTACAAAGAGACTAGGTGAAGCTTGAGGACAAACAAAGCCAAACAAAAGCCACTCATTAATAAAACCTTGAATTTGGTTGGGTTGTTTGAACAGGAGGAAGAAAATGAAGGCAGTGCAGTGAAGCAAGTTTTAACCTTTCAAATATCCTTTCTCAGCCCTCCAAACGGAGGTGAGGGGATTCAATAAGCCACACGCTAGGGCAGAGCGTCCGTAACTGGGGCAGGAATGGGAGATGGAGGGAGGAATGGGAAAGGAGGAGTACAAATGGGGAAAGGAGGCAGATATGGGACAAGAAGACAGACATGGGAAGGAGGCAGAAGGACGCTGGGTGGGGACCAATCCAGTCCAGACCAGTTTCGCGTCAGGCCTTGAAGGCATCCTGTGAAGGCTAAGGGATGAGGGTGTTGGAGACAGGCGAGAAGAGAATGTCACTTTGGAAGAGACCTAGAGGATCCAGGCCATTCTCCCTTCAAGATTCCCCAAAATCAAGCCGCTCCGCGCCCTTCCCTGGGTCTAGAGGACTTCTAGTTTCCCACTTTCTTCCTCGTCACCTTGCAGCTCCTTCTTTTCCTTGCGATGCCTTCTCACCAGCTGCTCCTCTTCATCCAGTTCTTCGGTCAAGGCTGCCTCCATAATGACCAGGTTGCCTGACACTCACAGTAAGAAATCGCTTGCAACAAGGACCAGCCGGCACCTTGCACGCCTTAATTCTCACCCCGAACGCCATTGGTCGCTGCCAGGTTTTAGCCCCGCCTTTAAGGCAGGACCGGATGTAACTCAAGCCAATGGAAGAATGAGAAAGTTGAATGGCGTGCTGCGCCTGCGCACTACGTGGTCGCCCTTAGGATGGGCAGGTCGAAAAGGGTGGAAGGGCGGGGATATGAAATCTGTGCGAGTGACTAAGGCGCTAGAGCCCGTGCTCTGACAAGCTGTGCGCTTTGCTATTGGCTCTAACGTGAGGCGCGCGGAGATGACGTAAGGAAGTTATTTGATTGGTTCTGTAATTTCGGTGATTGTAAAGACTGCTTGGATACCATTGCGAAGAGTCGTTGAAAAGGTAAGAAAAAATATACATGTTAAGTAAAGACGTGAATTATTAGCAGTGAGAATCTTTGAACTTCATCAATCATACTATAGAGAATTATGGTTCTCTTTGTTTTTAAGGTCAAAACACCGCACTTCGGAAGAAAAGAACAGAGCTAATTAATCGAGAAAATGCCTCCTCTTGATACTGATGTACTGCACTATTGCAATCTACCGATCTACGGTAGTCTTGCAGAAATTACTGACGTATTAATAGAGTTCCTTACCCATCTGGCCTTTGTCGTAAAGTAGGTGTCTTGTGACTACATGGAAGAGAATGAGGCCTGTTTAACAGAAGAAGAGTCGGTTACAAAGTAAATCCCGCAGGAAAATAGGAGAAATTCTCATAGAATGCAGAGGAAAAAGGCACAGGAATTAAGAGGAGGAAAGAGAGATCTAGAGTGCCTGACCTCGGAATGCAGTCTACGTGTAATAGGAAACAAGAGGCCAAAGCAAATAAAACTGAAACAATAATTGCGGAACTAATCGAAGAAAATTTTCCAGAGTTGAAGAAGAAGTAGACCTGCAAATAAAAAATGCTCACAAGGTATCTCAATTTAATTTAATGAGAAGAAAGCGACACCTGAGTATATCCTTTTGACTTTTAAATTTTAAGCATAAGGACAAAGCTTTGCAAGTATCTAGAGAAAACAGGTTACCTGTAAGGGAGCGAAAGTCAGACTAACCTCAGATTGTTGTCTTACAATTTTAAATACCTGAAGACAACAGGACAATATTTGTAGAGTTTTAAGGAAAATTAATTTTGAACCAAGAATTATAATCCCTGCCTAGTTAGTATTTGTGTATGAAGCAACTGGAAGACATTCTCAGATACCGAGCGGTTAAGAAAGTATATTGACCAAGAACCTTCTCTTAAAGTTTTGCTGAATGATTTACTGCAGCCAACAGAAAAATTAAATAGAACAAGGAGATAGTTGTATGGGAGATTTGTTGGCTAAAACTAGTTAAGAATATGAAGTCTAAAATTGTTTTACTTAGGAGAGTAAACCTAAACACGAAATAGATTTGTAAGCTGAACCTTAGATTTTCAGGTTATGTCAAAATGCTTGCCAGATACACAATGTAAATATGGTTTTATTTTTCCCATGTAATATAAAGATGGATGTTGTTAAGCCAAACATGTTAAATAGAAGTAATTGCTTGTAATCCCAACGCTTGGGAAACTGAGGCAGAAGAACTGCTGCAAGTTCGCGACCAGCCTGACCTGTATAGTGAAGACAAAGTCTACAGTGTCTCAAAAAGACAAAAAAAGAATAAGAAGTGCGTTGTCACTGTGGGCAGTACAAGTACAGAAAAGACATTCTAAATGTTTATGTGCCAAAATTGGAAAATGGTATAGTTTTAATTCCTTTAGAAAAATAGCAAGCTCATAATGTTAATACTAAAAGGGTAAGGAGAAAATTTTCAAAGCACTGGTTAGAGAAGGATGGATATGTTTCAAATACTGATTGGGAAAACCAGTAATTACTACATTAGGTGGTAGTTCATAGAAGTTTTATCATTAAATAGTTTATATGCATTGCAGGTTTTGGGGATAGAAAACAAATGAAAACCCAAAAAAGAGTAGCACAAAAAAAAAATACCAAGGAAACATTAAACTTTACATTAAAGGTATTGACAGAAAAAGAGGTAAATTATACTCACAAACTGATTAAATTCCCAATTAATAAGATCCAAATTGAGTACAAAAAGTCAATCTCTGATTTGGATACATTTGTATAAAACAGGTCAAAGGAGATTAAAGGTAATGGAAACTTTGTAGGTTTCCATGTCACCAAGAAATTCAATGCAATACATAATTCGAACCAGATTATAGTACCTGATCCCAACATCTTGTGAAAAGAAAAATCATTCTGCATAATTGTTACTGCCTATATCTAAAATTTGAGGAATTTAAGTGAAAATTTTTACAAAAGGGTAAGAAATACTACAAATTTGGATGTTATGCCTCTGATACCCCTTCTCACACATGCCATTCTTTACTTGCTAACGTAGAAGCAAGAATTTTGCCATTGATCACTTGAAAGTTTGACAGCTTGTGTACAATAAATCTTAATTACATATTCTGTGTACACTCCGGGCCAGATGAAAATTGTATTAATTGGATCTTGTGATTTGCTTGTTCTCTTACCTCTTTTACAAAAATAGATTTGCCTTCACTTTTCCAGTTATAAGGCTTTCTCTGTTTCTCTTCCATCTTTGAAACATTTCCTGCTAGTGCAGTGGGGATTGTGATCAGAGATTCTTCATTGTGTTGCTACTAGTAAACTGTTTGACCTGAGCACTTGGAAATCTGTGGGTGATTAAACATAATGATTAGAAGATAACAATATATAACATGTAAGTTATAGCAAAAGTTCAAATAAGAAATAGGGAAATGCTATTAAAAATCAACTCTATTGTTTCTTGTAATTATTTCTTGCCCCAACAAATTACAATGGTATGGGGTAATGTACTAGCTAATAAAATTTTCATAATACAACTGTTATTTATGGAGGCAGTCCTGTAACACTATAATTCCACTTAGTTAAAAAAATCAAATTTCACTTTAATCAGTAGGAAAAAGAAAATTCTAACTGTGATGTTTTGTCAGGGCTTGAAAGCTGTAAGACATGTAATTAATGGTACTGCATTTTTTCTAGCATTTTGATTAAACTGAAATTAGGTAATTAGCTGGTGCCTGTGTTAAGTAACAAGGTGAATAAAAGTAAGACTAAAAAGCCTTAGGAAAGGATAAAAAGCATCAGAGTTCAATGTTTTATTAGTTTTTTAAAAGAAAACTTTATAAATGTAAGCTACACATTATAATTAAATTTCTTTTTAAACCTAAGCTATAAGTTATCAAATAGAAAAAGTGAAAGTTATTTTAACAGTATTGAAGTTTCTATTGTAATCATTTCGCCACTTAATATTGTTCTTACATGTTTCTTCAGGTAATTCCAGTCTTTTTATCCATGTATAGTACTTTTTCCTGTACTAATTAAGTTATCCTTAAAGTGGCATATGAAAATATTTTCTTATATAGTATTTATTTATTTTTAATACTAGTAATTATTTTAAAATAAGTTTTTTTCTGAGGGTTACATTTGTTTCCCAATCCAAGCCCCAGATATGACTAGTTTTTTGTTTGTTTGTTTGTTTGTTTTGTCTTTTTCATTTTTATTGGTACCGGGGATCGAACTCACGACTGCCTGCTTGCAAGGCAGGTACTTATGCCGCTGAGCTAAATCCCCAGCCCCTAGATATGACTAGTTTTAAGAAATACACTTATTAATACATAATAGAAATCACAAAAGCTTGATCTTTAAAAGCTGTATTAGTTTGCTTGGCCTGCAGAGACAAAATACCAAAACCTGAGTGATTTAAAATAAAGTAAATTACTCCAAAATCAAGCTGTTGACAAGGTCATGCTCCCTCTGACAGCTCTAGGGCTCTAAGACCACCATTTCTTGTTCTTCAGATTTTATTGGCTCTTTTGTTTCTAGGTGGAGATTATGGCTATTGATTTAAGACCTGATTTCTTTCTAATATAAGGTGTTTCAGAGGCTACTTTTTTTTGATCAAGATTGCTTTCGAGTATCCCACAAATGTTGTACTATGTATGCATATGTACTATGCTTACATTTTTTTAAAAATTCAAACAACTTTGTAGTTTTGCTTGATTTCTTCTTTGATACATGAGCCTTTTAGAGTGTGGCATTGTTTAAATATTTTGATCTATTTTTAGATTTGCAGTTCAAAAACTAAAGAGTATCTGTATATAATTTCAACCATCCTGATGGTATATGATCAAAACCAGAGAATTGTCAAATACAATACCACTAACCATAAAGCTTATTTAGATATCACAGTGTTTGTCAGCATTCATCCTATATGTTTGTGCAACAGTTATATGAGATTTTACCTGTGAAAAATTGTGTAAGCATCACCAAAATCTGGGCACAGAGCCATTCATCACCTGAAAGAACACATGCTGAGAGGGTTGCTTAACCCCAAATTTATATGATCTTGTCTACCTTCAACAGGGCACCAAGGTGAGAGGTTTACAGGGACAATGTTACACTAGCTACCTGGAGCTATTTTCCTAAACCTTTGATCACCTGGATTTCCAGGATTTCCACATGACAGAGACTGCAGAGAGACAGTCCTTTCCTGAAAATCCGACCATCCCTCAACCATAAAGATTCCAGAACTATAGGACTAAAATAATGATCAATCAGACCCCAGCCATCTACTAAGTCTTTAAAACTGTCCGCTCAGCTGTATCACAGTGTGAACCCCGTATCACAGTGTGCCCTTTCCAGCTATCTAAGCTGGAGTCCTTTCTTATCTTCTAACTTATTAAATCTTTGTTCCCCTGTAATTTGTGTTATGTTTTCAATTTCTGCTTCTACTATAGCAAGGACCAAAACTAGCCAGCTGAAACAATTTTAGTAATTACAGAAAAATATGAGTATTACCAGATTTAAAAACTGTTTTGTGCTGGGGATGTAGCTCAGTGGCACAGCGCTTGCCTGGCAAGTGCCAAGTCCTGAGTTTGATTCTCAGTACCAAAAATAAAAGCTATTTATTGTAAGGCAGTAGTAACTAAAATGTTGGTTTACTGTAAAAAATATTAAAAGTAGTGCATGAAATTCTTAGGATGTCTTTAAATTTTAAATTCAGAAATGAAATACTGTTAAAAATAATAAAAGACAAGGCAGATTTCTAAAATATAAAAATCTGTAATTTTAAAAGAGAAAATAGATATAAGCCAATAGAATTATAAAGACTACTTTTCAGAGGTTGTGTTTTTAGCTAAGCATGATAGTACACACCTGCAATCCCTGGTGTGGCATTAAGTCCCTGGACCTGAGACAGGAACAACTCTGTGAGCTCAAGGCCAGCGTGGACTACACAGTAAGTTCAAAAACAGACGAATATATAGCAAGATCCTGCCTAAAAGAAAAGACTGTATTTTTCATAGAAGAATCTTGCCAATACTCCACGGAACAGCTTGGAATAAATGATTAAGATAATAAGTAAAAGTCTGTGCATAAGGATATGGCTCAGTAGTACAGCACCTGCCTGGCAAGCACAAGGTCCTGAGTTCTAGTTCCAGTAAACTCCCACCCCAAAGAAACCTATGGGATATTAATGCCAATCCTGTGAATGGGAGCCATTTCCTTTGTTCTTAATGCTTTCGTGCTATAAATAGAAAATAAGGTGGGGCTTATAAAAATAAGACACATTGATAACAAAGAGGCAGCTAGGATGAATGACCAGGTGCAGATTCTTTGGGGAGGGGAAGAGGCATGGTAACAAAGAACTGAGGCGAAGTGAACAGACTGATTTTCAAATTCAAAAGCAGATCATCTTCAAAGAATTGAAAAAGATAGATTCTGACAGCCTGTGACTAAAAATAATTTGATTAAGGGTTTACTTCCATCTGTGTAAAGTCATTTCTCAGCATATTCTATCACTGTAGAAGGAGGTAAATCATGTTTAATAAAAAGGAATTAAGCTTAGTTGGATTCAAGTTGGAATTCCGGTTCTAATGCTTAAGGCTAGTAACATGGTAGGCAGGCAATTGGCTATCTCACACTTTCACCGTCTACCTCAGCAAAATATGTAGAAAAGTAGTACCTGCCTCAATTGTTGCTTTCAGGATAAATGGGCACGCATCAGATAAAGCAGTAAGATGTCACTAAAAATGTTAGTTGTTACTGTCAAAATTAACTTACTGTCAAGAACTTCATCATTTGAGGTTGAAATAAAGTATAAAAATTTCTGGCTTCCCTGTCTCACTGGATTTTTCATCTCTACTCTTTCTGGTGAAGCTGAAAAATAGGTCCGATCACCCATGTTGTTAGGATCGCATCTGGCTCTACTTATGGTCCTGTGGCCTCCAAGCTGCTACTTTTGCCTCTGTTTTTGTATTCATATGACTGGGCATTTGCCCCCACCTACCCCAGTTCTTGATTAATCTGATTTCTGCAGCTGACACTGCAGGACTCACTTGAATTTAAGCCAACTTCACCAGCAGCCAGCAACCTATGGAGCCCTCGGTGACCATTTTCCTTGTAAGTTAAACTTGTGCCTCTGATTATTGGCTTCCAACTCCATCTGCTAAAATGCTGCTTTTCTAATGCTGAATTTCATTTCTGCTGAGATTCTCTTGCTCCTGTACTTCACCCCCAAGCTAGGATGCTTTTGGGTACTGAGATGATCTGAAACAGGATTGATTTTCCTTGACCATTTGGACAGTGCCAACCTACCTCCACAGGAGCCTGCTCTCTGCTCCTCTCAGTCTGCCTGCTCATTCTTGCTAGCTTCTGATACTCTGCCTTTCCTTTTCAAACGTACTAGTTTTCAAAGCCAAGCCAGCCTGAGTTACAGTGAAAATACGGTTTGGTGAAAACATGGGGATGTTTTGTGAAATAAGCAATTGTGGGGATGAGGGTGGGGGCATTATATGGCTCAAGGGTACTTATTGCACAGATTTACTGTGTATTCTCTCTCTCTCCCTTTTTTTTTTTTTTTTTATACCAGGGATTGAACTCATGCTTACCAAGCAGGCACTTGTGCCACTGAGTTATATCCCCACCCTATATTTTAAACTGTGAATTGTAAAATCATGATAGCAGAAATTCCTCTTGTTTCTAGTTCTCTCCCTCTGATATGGCTGCATCATTTCATTTCTCTCTTTTTCACTTCTTTATGCTCTTTCTCATCTTCTGTCTCTCTGCCTCCTTCCAGCATGTCATATATCAGTCTCCACGCATAGTCTCCAGTAGGTCCCTGCTTCTCCCTGGGAGGTCAGTGCCTTTCAGAGGCCAGCTGTCACACTAGCTCCTGTCATCTCCCTGAAGTCAAGACTTGGGACACCGTGGGTATAAACGTAAAATGGGTTAAGTACAAACAAAAAAGAACAAAACTGATTTTTATATGTTGATATGGGAAGATCTCCAAAAATAGGTAATTAGGTAAAAGGTACAGAAGAAAATAGTACATAGACATCTAATTCATATAAAAAGGATGTAAGGATGTACAAGTTTCATGCATTCATTGGGGGAAGAGTATAGTAAATAAATGGACACCTTTAAAGAGTCCTGAGTATTTTGACCTAGATCACTTTTATTCATAGAAATTATATACTAAAGAAATAATTTTGTATAATTTTACAAGTTAGTTACTCATTTTTTCCTCCCTTTTTCCGTTCCTAAGGATTGAACCCAGGGCCTTGCAGGACAGGCAAGCATTCTATCATTGAACTCATTCCTCAGCCCTCTGTGGCAACACATTTAATTGTACAATGAAATTGCTGCAGTGTCACTCCGGGAGGGAAGGTGCTGTGTGCACTTTGGAGCCCCCACCTGCCTGTAGTGGGTGGTAGCTGGGCCAGGTCCCAGCTGTCTGGCCCCAGCTCCTGGCTGGCTTGAGGGAGCCACCCGGTTTTCCTTGTCCTGAATGTGGCAGGGTACCCTCAGGAGGAGGTGCCATGTCTGTATCTGCAGGGAGACGCACCCAGAGAAGGTGAGGAACTCGTCAGTGTAACAGGGGCAGAATGGTGAGCCCTCCCACTGTCTGCCATCCTCTTTCCTGGCAGGCTGGGCCACACGGGAGCCACACTTTGTCCAAGGGTCGGTGGCCTGGGCAGGTTTCACACTGAGGTGGATCGCACACCTGTTCCCGCCTCGTGGTGCCACTCCAGCTGTGCCTTTCAGCATCCTCCCAGTGCCACGCTTGGGTCCACCTCAGTGCAGCAGGTACCTTTGTGGACACTATGGTTTAGATTTCCAATTCAGTTTATAAACTGCTTTGGGGTCTCATCGTGTCTGTGGGCGGGTGATAAGTGACAAATGAAAAACATGGATTTGCAGCAGGCTCCTCAGTGCTCCCCGGAGCTCCCCAGGCTCCTGTCTTGCACCATTACCATCACAGCTGTCACACACTGGAGGCCCTCGAGTTTCCTTAGTAACTGTTGCAAATGCATTGCTTTCCCTGATGGAGATAGAAAGAGCCTTACAGGGGTTTTTGTTTTATCTTCTCTTAGCCCATAACCTGGAAGCTGAGCAGAAGAGCCACAGCAGGCCTGCCTCATTCCACTACCCTGAGGAAAAAAAAAAAGAAATTGTTTTACTGTCCAGCATTAGAAAATTACAAAATATTAAAATATATAAAACTATATTTTCAAAATCTAGTTAGTGACATAGAAAAAGCAACAAATTTCTACCTTAAAAAACAGATTACAAAACACTTGACAGATACATTTTGTATTTGTTTAGATAAATGAATCAAATACGTGAAAATGTTTACAGTGACTGTCACTGGACAATGAAATTAAGGTGGATTATGTCGCTTTCTCAATGCAATGCAATGTTGCAAATGTTAAATGTTAAAATATGCAAATGTTAAAATGTGCAAAATACATTTTTCTGTAATAACAAAAAGTAGAAAATGTTTTGGATTAATAAAAAACATTCTTTCCAAAATTTGTGGGTTCATTTGAGCTAACTTCTATCTATCTATCTATCTCTATCTATCTATCTATTTTGAGACAGGGTCTCTTACTGTGTAGTTTTGGCTGGTTTTTAACTCACCTTATGGGCTAGGCTAGTCTTAAATTTATGGCGATCCTAATTCTTCACCCCCCAGAGTGCTGGGATTACTGGTGTGCACCATGATACCTTGTTTGAACTCTATTTTTGTTTTTTTTAAAGCAGGGAGTTTTATCTTTTCCATTTTTACTTCATAGCTTGTCTCTATAGTCTAAAATATATGATATTTTCTTAAATAAAGCTATCTTTCCTTCTAGCTCTTGGTTGTCTCATCCATTATCTATCTTTACCCGCCTCAGGTGATGCTAATCAAGTTTGCTTTGTGTTCTCTTATTTGGTTAATAGCTCTTATGACAATAAATGGCTGCTGGCTGGCTTGTTTGGTAGATGGTATGTTCCTCACAGAGCACATGTAAATTTTCATTACCATGATTGCGATCTCTATAAATTTAAACTTCTCCATACTAGATTTTGCTTAAACATGGGACCACTTCTGAGTGTTTTAGAGAAATGACGCATTAAATGACACATTTAACCTAGAAATTCCTCAGTAAATTTATACAAGGCAAGCGTGTACCTACCTGTTTAAATTCTCGCCTGGATGATAGTTCACACTTACTCAAATTAACATGGAAGTTAAATTCAACCAGATAAATCCTTATCATCCATGTTCATGCTATTAAAAACCACTTCAAAGATACAGAAGATGCTTGTTGCTCAAAGAAGGAATCTTATCTTCCCAAAAGAGATAAGACAAGCAAAATACTAGAGTCAATAACAATAATTTTAGTAGACTCAATGCTCACAAATCATTTTTGCTCAAATATTGTTTCATTCTCTTACTTGCTTTTTAAATACCTAGATGCTATCCTACTCACTATTCAAAATGGACATTAAAATACTTTCAAAATGATGAAAATTGGAAGACAAATAAGTAATCTTGTTTATTACAGGAGTGTACCTTTCAAAAATTCTCAGAAACAGGTGATAAGTACTTAAACAAAACAATGGGAACAACATTGAACTTCAAAAACAAGACAGCAGGAAATCAACCATAGTTCCTGTAATGTAACATTGCAATCTTCTAAATAGATGCTCAAACCACTAGACATAGGCATGCAAAGTCAATCAAACAATTCAGACTAAATTCTTCTTTACTTCAGTTGCCTTCATCTCAGAAATTTCAGATGTGTAGTTTCTAATTTCCTGTATGTCTGGATCTCCTGGACTTGTTCCGGGTGAGATTCGGGCATGCAAAATTAAATAAACTACATAAGCACTACGTTGTCTCTTTACTTTAGTTGCTATCATTTCAGAAATTTTAGGTATGTGACTTCTAAGTTATTTTGTGTTAATGTCTTCTGGACTTGTTCTGGGTGGGCTGGAGTCTGAGATTGCATCTTGCTCCTTGGTCTTGACATTTTCCAGTGTTCTTCTGAACCAGCCAATTGCTGAGTCCTGGGTATTTCCTACATTGGCTGCCTATCCCAGTGCAGGGGATTGGGCTAGGACCCCTGGTTCCACCGATCTAAGGTTCCTGGGGTGGTGGAGAGGTGCCAGGCAGCTGCTTATCAACATTCTCTAAAAGGCTGCAGAACCGCGGAGGTATGGCTTCCTCTCCTCTGAATCCATGGCTGTGTGTGTGTGTGTGTGTGTGTGTGTGTGTGTGTGTGTGAGGGTGTGTTGGGGACTTTGTTTCTTCCTAATAAATGGATCACTGCATTTCTAAAGTTCTGAAATGGCCAACAGACTATCAAAGCTTACCATTTTAGGCCTCTGCTTGAAACCAACAGCTTCAGAAAACTGCAGGCCTTGACTCAGGACCATGATGATGGGTACTTTATTCAAGCTGTTAAAACTGTAAGACTCCCCAAAGGAATTGATTCTTAGAAAATAGGAAACAATACAGTTTCATGTGCCACATAAACTTTTTGCAAGTTTGATGAGCTTTGTTCTGGCAGGTGTTGAAATCTTTTTTAAAACCTACATGGCGTGTGGGGAGTATTGGGCTTGTTCTTGTTTCAGTCTAATATGTCCCATTCCTGGAACTATTTGCTAAGGAGGAGTGGATCAGGCTCTCAGGAATCTCATAGGTCCATCCAGCATCCAATCAGAGAAGAACATTTTACACTTCTCCACGCAGGCAAGAAAAATCAATATTTAAAAAAAAATTATTATGTGTCTACAATATATAATGAATATATCACATCTTAATGCTTATTACTTTCCCTCTCCATCCCAAAAGTCAGTATATTTAATATAGAAAGATAAAGGAATTCTTGATAACTTTTGTGTTTTTCTTTTTTCAATTTCTATAGCTCTTCTATATATTTCTTTATGAGTTATACCTCCAGCTATAACTAATAACTTTGAAACCTCAGAGGCTCAACACAAAATATATTTCCTCTTTTTAATAGAACCTCATAACCAGTATTCTTGGCAGATTACTCTCTTGTAAGTAGAGATTTAGTGTTTTAAGAGCCTTCCTGCTTGTGCCATTAAAAATACGTGCTTTTAGTCTCCTGGGGGATCATCTGCTGCCACCCACTTTAGAGGGGCCTAGAGCAGGGCGAAAACTTGGCATGGTGGTTCATGCCTCTAATCTTAGCATTCAGAAGGCCGAGGCAGGATTGAGTTCAAGTCCAGCCTGGGCTTCAAAGTGAGATCAAGCCAATCTGAATTACATAGTGAGACCCTGTTTCAAACTAGAGCAGGGGAATTGTGAGAGAGATTTGATGACCAGGTCAACAAGTCTTCATCACTTCTACTGACCTTCCCCTGGGCAGAATCAGAATAAATAACTACTCAAGAATGGCAGAGAAATATAATTTACCAGGTTCTCAGGTAGAAAACAAAGGTTTTATTGGAAAATAAATAAAAATTAAAATAAGGATTATAATTAGAATTATAAGGTAATAATAAATTTTAAAATAATATTTTAAATATTTACAGTATCAGAATAGTCTTCAAAATTGATTGAAGCCATTCCTGAATTCTTTTATATTCTACAATCAAATCAATCAGCAAATCACATATGATATAACTTCACAATGTACACAGAATCTAATCTATTTTTCCCATCTCCGAGCCTTTTGTCTTCTTAGCTACAGGTCACTTTTTTGTACAAGGAATCAAGGACCTCACGCCTGCCAGGCATGTGTGCTGTACTGCTTAGCCGTGGCCCAGCCTTTGCCACAGTTCATTTTTAACAGTCACCATTGTGATCTTTTTTTCTTTTGTTGCAGCATTGGAGACTGAACCCCAGGGCTTTTGCACTGAGCTGCAATCCCAGCCCTTTTATTCTGAGATAGGGCCTCCTTGAGTTGCTAAATTGCCCAGGCCAAGCTTAAATTTCCAATCCTCCTGCCTTGATTTTCCACAGTACACATTTCATTACCCCCAGCTAGAAACTCCTAATCATCATGGCTGTCAAGTCACTCCTCAAAAACCTCCAGCATCTCTGTAGTTTTCCCATCTCAGAGGAAAAGCGAACATGGCCACATGTGACCTGCCCTCCCCGCAACAACAGTCCACTCCAAACTTCTCTGATCACATCTCTTACTCCCATCCTAACCCTGTAAACTCCCTTTGCTCAGGCCTCACACTCACTTCCTTGCTGCTCTTGCCCGTGCCATGTGGGTTTCCTCCAAGGGGCTTTGTTGTCCACTGTCCCTGTTATGGTTAAAGAGCCCATGAAGCTGACCCTAGTCTGTTGGTATGAAAGAGCAATATGCAATTTCTGGCTATGTTCCCTATTTCTCTCCATAATGTTTATACCATCTGACATATATATGCTTGTTAAACTCAGCATTGCCTATCTTCTGCTGTCATAATGAGGACAGGGATTTTAGATTCCCTAAAGCAGCATCCAGCATATAGAAGGTACTCAGTAAACATTTGCTGAATGACTGTTGAACTACTGGAAACATTCTAAAACACTGAAAAATAGAGGGCTGGTTAAATAAACCAAGGTAATACACTGAAGCTCAGACAGGAGGTGGAAACCCAAAGAAAAAAATAAAACCAGGCTAGAGTTCTATGTCTCTCAGTAGCAAGTGTGAGGAATACTAATTTCTAAAGAGGTAACAGTTATTTTTCTTACCAACTGGTTTCTGAAATCACAGGAAAAGGAAGTTTCTCATGATACGTATTATCACATTTCTCAACTGCCTTTATAGTTTGTTTCTCTGTGAAATGTGTTTAAGTGTATATATTTGTGTATGTCTCCTAGGCTAAAAAAATTCTTTTTTTTTAAAGACTTTTAAAAAGTTTGTCTCATGCTTTGCAAATTCATTAGTGAACTGAGACACCATAGCAAAACATCTCAGACTGTACAATTTAAACATCTCTTTCCCATTTCCTGTCTTGAGGATATGAGTGTAGTTTGCATCTAGGTCACTACTCCTTCCTTCCTTGTCTAGATTGAACCTTCTCAAGTGAGCAGACACAGGAGGAATTGGAAGGGTGGACTGGGCTTCTCTTATCATTTTTCCTTCACTATTTGGCAGCACTGATGGTGCATGGACAATGCCTTCTTTTTTTTGGTCTTTTTCGCTTTTTATCGGTACCAGGGATCGAGCTCAGGACTGCCTGCTTACAAGGCAGACGCTTATGCCGCTGAGCTAAATCCCCAGCCCCGACAATGCCTTCTTGATAGGAGGTGCTCAAACTCAGGATTCCTAGAAACCCACATGTTTGTTCTTTCAAGAGCCTTTCTAATGTGTGGGATTGTGCTACACCTCCAACACTACTCAACTCTTGCATTCACTGGTATACTCATGGGCTTTTGTTTTGCTTAACTTTTTGTATTAGTGTCAGTATGATGGCAAAAGCCTGCCTGTTTTTTGTGGTACCCCCTTGGCCTACTGGAAACTCATGTTCTCACCAAAACAGCAGTGATAGCTGAGCCACACCCCAGGCCTCTCTGATTAATCTGCCGTCATTCTCTCCACTTCTTTTTTCTAGTCACATAGACTTTGAGAGGCTCGACTAGCGAGTGTGTTAATCTGATGGACAACTAGGAAATGAGGCATGTGACAACGAGGCTTAATTGGTAACTTGATTGATTTCAGAACTGCCCTAGAGGGTTAGCAAACCACACTTCGGGATGTGTCTGAGTTAGTCTTGGAGTTGCGACCTTAGGTAATATACCGTATCTGGTCACTGTGCCCTTCCTGTCTAGAGCTCTTGTCCTGCTCTGCTTCCTAGCTGTGAACTGAGCAGCTTTGATCTGCCGTGCCCTTATTTCATGATGTTCCTGTCTAGGATCCAGAAAATCATGGACTGAAACTTCTGAGACCAGAAGCCAAATAAACCATTGCATCCTTTCAATGGTAGGCTCTGGGTATTTGATCCCAGCATCAAAGCTGACTAAAATAAGGTGCTAGTTTTCCATTTTACAGATACCTCTAGACATTGCAAGTGACTCCCTCAGAGCCCTTCTTACCAGTTTTTTTTTCTTTTGAAGAAAGACCAGCAGTATGCCCTAAGCCAACAAACACTGAGCCCAATAATTTACTTTTCTTCATTCTCTTAGTTGTTAATGCTGGGATAATTATGGTTTTGAGGGACCACTCCTGCTCATTTAATATAAGAGGACCTTAATACTTCTGTGTCTTCATCTTTGGACCACAGCTGTGTTTTGGATCAATAGAGAAAGTTTTATACAACTTCAAGTTACATGTACTCTATGGATCTTTGTGTTCCATTGTTTACATTTCACTCTTTTTGTGAACTCTTTAGAACTTGTATCTTATTGACTGTTATTAGTATCCTATAATACAAGGAAGCTATCCAGTTTTGCTGATAAAATTCAGACAAGAGAAGGAAGCTAGGACTAATAAATTTTGAAAAATGTTATTGAGCACCAGTCATGTGTGGTTCTATTTTCAATACTATGAAAGAAATATGAAACCTTTGCCCTTGTGTACATGTCAAATAGTGGAAACTAGATTTAAGTATTAACATGGTTAAAAAGAAGTATTAACTAGATTTAATATTAACATGGTTGAAAAAGAATCACACACAAAAAAGTGTCATATAAATATAGCAGAGGATTAATTCCAACTAGAGAATCTGAATGGAGCTTTAACTGCAGTCAAGTTGGTATTTATTCATTTATCTAATCTATTATTTTTTTTTATTATATTAGGGATTGAATCCAGGCCACATCCTCAGCCTTGTTTGTTCTTTATTTTGAGACAGAATCTTGCTAAAGTATGAAGTTGCCCTGGCTGGGTTCGAGCTTGCATTTCTCCTGCCTCAGCCTCCCAGAGTGCTGGGACTACAGATGTGTACCACCATGCCTGGCTTAGTCAAACTTTTAACCCTCTTTATTGTCTATGTAAAATGCTGCACCCTTTTCCTGATGTGGCCTTATGCTCTCAGGGTTATAGCTCGCTGTGCTGCAGAAGGTAAAGCCAGTGGATACAAAGGTAAAACCATTTACCCTGGGCTTGGTGAGGTACCCATTCTGTAGTTTCCTTATCCTAAAAGCCAGTCTCTTCCCTTTCTAAAATATGAATGTAAAGGAGGGGTATTCATATGTCATCCTTCTTGTGAAATGTAAATCACTGATGCCCCTCAAGACTTTTTCATAGGCATTTCCAAAACACTGAGAAGCTTTATATTAAATACAGTCCCTTAGGCCTGCTATGACAGTCTAAAGTTTTTGTATTAAGCACGCAAATTACACATGAAGATCACAATCATATAGATATAAGGCAGATATAAATAGATTAATGAGTTACAAATACAAATATTCTAGCCTATTGTTTTTCTATCTTAGTTTATTGATGCCTGTACTTTGCTTTCCCTTCAAATAGAAT